CAGCCAGTAAGGGTGCCCCGCTCTTTGAAGGGGGGAGCATCATTTGTTGACTGGGCAGTACCCGACACTGACCTCATCTGGTTGCTGATAAGATTGTTCAGGGTTTGGCTTGGACCTAATTTTTGTTGACAGCCTTGATAGCCCTTTCTCAAGTTGCATTTAATGTTCATTCCTAAAATGTTAGCTTCATAGAAGGGACTGCTGGGTTGTCTCAATGCTTCCTACTGGCTGTGGCATTTCAGTTAATAGAGGTTAATTTCAGTGACTACAAGGAGGAAGCTATGGCCAAGGCATCAGTCTGACAATGAAAGAAAGGAAACATACATCACTTCTCCTATAAACTCTTCCACTGATTAATTGTCATTGCTGCTTTAAAAAAAACACAGCCTTATATCATAAAACTGTCCCTGAATCTTGTCTAACACCACCAGGTCTGACCCAGATGAATGTATCCCTCATGTTGGCAAGCTTAAGATGCTCCTTCAGCTCACGGCCACCTGGAGAAGATAACAGACCACAACTCTGGCATCCTAAAGGGACGAAATAGGAGATGAACTGTAACAGATCAAGGAATACCCCGTCCTTTTTAACTAGAATGGCTCTTTATCAAGCACTTTGCCTGACTCCATCTCCAGCTGTTTCACTCTGGCAGTGACAAGCCCTACGTCAGATGAGGAGCCATTTCCCCGATCTGTCTCTTCCTGAAGTTAACCTCATCAGAGCACCCTGGGAATACCACTCTGTTTAACAATTTCAGGTCATATCAATTAGGGAATGCCATGCATAAAATGTTCAAGGCAAAAAAGACAAAGGTTCAGGCACACGACTGAAAGTTTATCTAATTCTCTATGCTCTGGGTCTCAGGTTATAGAGTCACTGGTGAGAAGATCAGAGAGTTGCACAGACTAGATTACCTTAGACCACTGGCTCTCAGAAATGGGGCAATCATCCTCCACTTCAGGAGCATTCAGCCTCTAAGAGGTAAAGAAACCTTTGCTATCCAAAGCAAGACATTGTCAGGACCCTGCCATGTGGGGAGGAACCATCATTTGTGAGGTGCTCAGACTCAACATTGCTCCAAGGAAGCCAACAAGGTCAGATCCCCCTGGAACTGGCAGGAGCAGGACTCTGTTCTTGGCCTGTGACTGGACTTGAGTCCAGGGCAGTCCTTGTCACAAGCAGGAGCAGGATTTTGGGCAGGCGGAGATAATTAACAGTGAACAGTGGGCCATCTAACAAGATGTAGGCACGTCCTCAGATAAGAAAGGGCTGGGCAGAGATATTTTGGACCACAGTCTCAGATTTGGGTACATCAGTTCTTTTGAAGACCTTCTGCAAATAACTATTAAGGTCTGAAGTTGTTTTCCAGTTTGTTCAGTGTCTAGAATCGTCAGCTGAAAGTATCTGAAAACAACTGCCCCGGACTCATGCAGAGAGTACATTGTAAAGATCGATGCATGTGTTAAAAACAACACTTTGAATTACCAAAAATAGTGACAAGTCTGCTCATGGAACTAAAAAAAAGTCACACAAGAAATATACAAAATATAAAAAACCTAGACAATGCTGTGGTGAGAATTAAAATGAGTGGCTATATTGAATGTATGTCCTTGCCTATAAAGCTAAAGCAAGCATATCTTATGTGCTGATATCCAAGAACCTTTCTGAACATTTAGGCTAGGTGCAAGGACTTGAATAAATAATACTTTGAGTGTTACACTGGGTATACACAACTACAAACCTTAAGATCCCTTGAGACTCCAAGGAGTTCACTTCTAGGCAGTAAGTGTGAAGTCTAAATCCCATAGGAAATTGTAAAAAGGAAAGATAAAGTTAGGAAAGGCAAATAAATACATGATGGACATGAAATGGGTAATGGTCGTATCAATAGAAGCAAGAAAAGACCTGCTAGTTCCACCTCGTCACTGTGCAATTGAATACCACATTTTCCATACCCCAACCGTGATCTGGCTTGCTGCCCTCTCCTGCCTTTGTGTGGAAAAAATCATCCCTTCTCCCATTATGCCAGGCAGATTATTTCTATCTTCACCTTCTCCAATGGATGCTTCTTTCAAAAAAGGTGACAATCACTTAGCGAGTGGTGACCATGCATCCCACATACACTCAGGATTGTCATCATTGCTTTGCACAAATGAGTTGACTCCTGTCTCATCATGACCTAGGTCAGATCTGAGCTTTTCCAGCGCCATCTTTGCTTTTTGACTAAGTGTCGATTGATGCTGTTCAAGATGGCTGGTCTTTGTTCCAGGATAACAACCGTTTTTCTTGCATGTTAATTGTTAATTTTGCCTGAGCATGTGACGTTGCTGTGACTCCCTACCAGCTGTCCAGCAAGACAGAGCCCAGGTATTTCTGTGACAATCCTGTGACTCTGTCTCAAACATGACTCATTAATGGGTTAATAGTGCATGGACACAGCGAGGAAAGAGCTGGAACGAGAGACTGAGGAGAACACCAGCAGAAAAGAGAGAATTCCTGGGGGAAGTCACCAAATTGACTCCACGGAGAGCAACTGCAGCTCTAAAGCTATTTGTCACGAGGCCATCAGAGCCACGAGCAGTAAGGCCTGGCAAGCAGAGGCAAGGTGCTTCAGCAGCACCAGCTTTCCCGGTAGAGCAAGTCGGTAACAGACAAATCCTGATTAAGTGGTTTGTTTACATTTGGATATTGCAGTCCCAGTGCAGTTTAAGTACAGCCATTGACTTGAGCTCGATTAAGTACGTTATGGAGAGTGCTACAGAAGAAAGAAATCAGAAGAAAAGAATTTGAGAGTGAGGGGGAGGAAAATGAACTGTATAGGAGGAAGATCTGAAGACAGAGGTAGTAAGTTCCTTAAAATAGCAGTGCTTGCATTTGATGTAAAATACAAAATCTTGGGAACAAAATGAGATAGAGACTAAACAGATGGTGTGAGGAGGGATTCAAAAGTGAGATGATGCTCCAGAGCTGGATATGAAGAAGTAAATGATACAGAAGTGGACATAAAAGACAGCAGGTAATCATCATGGTTGTTTTTTCAGAAAAGCCCTTTGCAATATTTGTAAGCTACAGCATGAGCAAAACACAATATGAGAGCACTTGGCTTATTTTCCTCTCTACCAGAAGAGACTTGTTTTGAAGTCAAAGCAGACAAAATGTGTTTCTGTGTGAAGAGTTTGTAGATCTTGGTATGTTAAAATATTACTTCAAAAATATTTCAACCCCAACAGTTACATTAATTTGCTTATCTCTATAGCACTTCAAAAAAAAAGTTGTACCACAGCTCATTTTGATCAAAATGGGAATCCTTCTAAACCTTCATTCTTATCTTTTCATTGATCACTGTAATATAGAGGTATCATTCTTCATCTGGGAACTTGATGCTTTTTTTCCCTCTGTGATAAAGCTCTAAATCCAAACAGCTCCAGGTTCTACCAGCTACGTGCTTCGGGGAGTTGTGAATTTTTTAGATTGTCCCCTTCTGGTAAGCCAGTTCCCACAGAGATGGTGAGTCACAGGGCCAGCATTTGGAGTCTGGAGCTGAAGATGAACTTCCCAGCTTGGATCCATCTCAAATTCTTTTTCTCTCCAGAAATATTTACTGCTCAGCAGAAAAGTGTCACATTGTCGTATACATTTCTTTTCCATTTTGCCAGATTTACATTATCTTGTTGTAGCAGTTTCTTCCAGCTACCACAAAGTCAGTCACTATTTTTTTTTGCAAAATTCAACTGGTAATTATTTACTCTCTGAGAAAGAGAAGCGCAAGAGTCTGATCACGGAAAAGCAAAATACTCAGAACAATATTGCAGGCTGTATGTCAGAAAACCGATCTCCCCTGGTGTGTGCCATAGCAGGAGGCAATGCTGCTGTGCCAGCCTCCCACTCAGATTGCCTCCCACCTGCACTGCAATCACAGGGTCTGAAATGTAATTCTTTGTTTACTTCTGCCCCCTGAGGGATGAAACCCTGAGATAAGGCTGCTTCGCATAAATCATCTCAAAATTCTCTCCAGTTTGTTTTCCACCCAGGTGATGCATATCATAATTTTTAAAGGATCTCTGCTGCCTGACCTGCGATTAAACAATCGCTTGGTCCTCTTAAGCACCTCTTAGCTCCCTGTCCTACCAGCTGCTAATGAGTTATCGCTCTGCTTTGAGTGCTGCTCTCTGCAAAGGTACAGGGAAATGCAAAAGCCCACTACAATTCCTCAGGGTCAGACCTGACCCTCAGGTCCCACTTGGCCACACAGCCCAGCGTTTTGATGGGATCCAGCCCGCATGCAGAGTCGGAGGGTTCAACTCACCATCAACGTGTTGCTGCTTGTTCCTCTGCCCACACAAACCAACTGTTTTCAATCCCAGCATTTTATCCTGGTTTGTAAATAATAGTCGCTCAGGAAGAAGTGTGTTTGCCTCCTATCTGGTAGAAGCTCTGTGTGTCCTTCATTTCTGTAATAGCTAGTCTGTTCCTAAATGCAAAGAGGGGCCAGGGATTAAAAAGGAAAGTAAAGGTTAATGACTATTCCTCTCTCTACCCAGAGTGCCAAAGGCTAAGGCTGGGGGTTGTTTTCCTTCTGACAGTTTGAAAATTTTTCCTATAAGCTGTAAATCAGGCTTAATTAAAGCTCTTCCTGTGACTTTTCCCCCCCTTTTTTCTTCCCCCCTGCAAGGTGGGGTGAACAAACCTGGATAAAAAATGACATAGCCAGAGTCCTCGAAACACAGCCAGCCCTCCCAGAGCCCTTGCTGTGGGCCAGGCTTTCCAGGCTGGCAGTGGGGTGGGTAACCAGTGGCGGGTAATTACCTTTGGATGAAAATCACAGGAATTGCTGCTGTTGAAAGATACTGTTGTTTCCTTCTGTAGTATTTCTGGGAGGACAGGAAGAACTGGAGCAGGAGGCTTATTAAAGAGGCAAAGCAGTATTTTTGTAGGCTTGTTATGCTGCCTATGTCTGCGTAATGTAAATGCAAATAAACCCATCTTTATTTTATTCATAGTTCTAATGGAAAGTCTGTGTCATGGTCTGAACCAGGTGGAAGACAAGCTCCCAAGGGGGAACACATGTGGCACAGACTCTCGGTGCATGTCAAGAGCCAGGAAACAGGGTGCAATCAGACAGCGGTGATCAAACCCCTCACTAAAAGCTACCATGGCCAAAGCAAGAGCCTGACTTTTACCGACAGCAGCAGTAAGACTCTGTACAATGTGGTGGAGGAAGAAGATAGAGAACCCGTTCGCCTCAACCAGCCCAGCAGCCCCTCCATGGTGGTGCACAGGCGGGTGGCGACGACCCCCCCGCTGCAGGCCACGGCGGAGGAGACCCACCTCTTCTTGCCTGAGCAGCCCCCCAAGACCCTGCCCCTGCAGCCACGGTCTCTCATGGACCAGCTGCAAGGAGTGGTCAACAAGTTTGCCACCAACATCCCTGACTTCAATGCTGTCCTCCCCGCGCCTGGCTCGGGGAATGGTGTGCCCCCCCCCCCACGGCGGCCCCCTCTGCCACCTCTCCAGGTGTCTGCCTTCAGCGAGGAGCCCCTGTCTCCCCCGGCCAAGGAAGCGGAGAGCGAGAATGTGAAGCTCATTCAGGGATACGTCTATGAGAAGAACCCAGAGGAGGAGGAAGATGAGGAGCCGGCAACCAGCAAGCTCACCCTGGAAGACTCTCCGGCGCTGACGCCCCCGTCCCCTTTCCGGGATTCGGTGGCTTCGGGCAGCTCCGTGCCCAGCTCCCCTGTCTCTGAGTCAGTGCTCTGCACCCCCCCAGATGTGAGCTATGCTTCTGTCATCCTGAGGGATTATAAGCAAAGCTCGTCGACTCTGTAGACTCTGCAAGAGATGAGAAGGACTTTGGCAGCTGCCTGCTGGGAGGTCCTGGGGAGACAAGTCTCCGAGGGCTGGGGTGAGAGACAGCAGAGAACAAAGTCACATATGACAGGGCAAAAACTTCATCCTGCACTTAAATAAATAAAAAGGAAAGAAAAAGAACAAAAAAATTCTGAGGGCTCAAAATTCTCTAGCTGTTAAAAATAAAAATACTGAACTTTGAGAAAATGATCAAAACCGTAACAAAGCACAAACCCAAGAGACAACTTCTATAGCAAAAAAAATGAATCAACACACAGGAAAGAAAAATAATCGCACTTAGTCACACCCTCTCTTGGCAATGCTTGAAAAGGACTCTGGGAAGTGTGACCTGGAGAAGTCATTAGCACATCTCATGACTGCTGTTTGTCTGCTACGGAAGCAACACACCCAGGAGCTGGAAGGGTATAGTGCGGTGAGGAGGAACAAAGCTATTTGTATATGAGACATATATGCATAAATATTTTTTCCTGGTTTCTATAGGGGGTATAACTGCGTAATGTGTTTGGGAGAGAGGAGCTGAGATAATGTGAAAGCACACAGATCTTATTGACTTGTGTCTGAACAATTTGTTCTTCATACTAGGCTGCTTTTGGGGGCATCTGGGCTTTTTTAAACGCTGATTGTGAACAGAGCGAGAAATATGATCAAGATTCAAGACGTTTCTGAAGGAAGCCCTTGCTGTACGACTTGTGATATGATATGGACTTAGAATAACTGGCCTTTTGTATAAGATTGCAAACCATGTGGCTGAACTGTTACACAACATTTCCTGTAGCAGAAGAATATTTATTGACTAACTTTTCATAATACAACGTATTTGCCATGTGATTACATCATTCCTTTGTGTTACTTTGGAATCGAATACATTGGAAAATAGCTGTATACTTAGAGCAAGAACTGTTACTCTGAAAGAAAGGCAATTCCTTACTGGGGATTATAGAGTCAGTCTTGAAGCAAGAGAGGGAGCGTACGTCTGTTTTTCTGTATGCGTGTTGTATGGTATGTGTGAAGGGCAATGCCCAATAACTACCACTGGAAGATTGTCGTATATACTATGAATATTTTTATGTTTAAATCATGTTTTATATCGCATTGTTACAAATATTCAATAGATCTTTGAAGGTTTGTATGCTGTGCTAACACATGTTTTTTCAAATACAAGCTGAGACAGTTGTTACCCTTATAATAGGGTGCTTTATTTTGCAGGTATTTTATGGAGTAGACATATGGTATTAATAACCAGTGCATTGAGAACTTGTTATTTTACATGTTTGCAGCAAGTGTGGTTAACAAAAAAAGAAAAAAAAAAAAGAAAATGCAAAAAGAGAAAAGTCTGGTTTAGAAATCTTGCACATGCCAGTATAAAGGCAAGACAGGAAAAGTAATTAAACTATTTTGTTGCTTCAGATAATTTAAAATAAATCAAGTTCAGACAGGAAATTCCATCAGTGCTTAATATGTGCATAAATTCCCATGGTTTGTTATAAATGGTTCTTTTAATCTCTTGATGATGTTCAGTTGTGTGATCTTTCCATACACTTTGACTTCTACTTAATACACAATATTGTATCTTATAGATCACTTCTATGCAGCTGTACTTCTGCAATTCATTCCTCCCCCTCTATCCTTCATGTATTTCCTAGAGATGGGCCTAATCCAAAGCTCCCTAATGGCTGGCTTGTTCAAAGTCCAGGTCTAATTGCTGTGGATTGAACATAATTGTACTTATTATTACCCTATTTATAAATGTGCATCTTATACATATACAGGACAGGGATTTAGCTGCTATGAACTTTGATTGTGCTGTTGAATTTAGCTGAGGATCTGTCCTGCAGTTCTACCCTTTATTTCCAAAGATATTTTTAAGGACTCTCTTCATGTTAATATAGTTGCAAAACCTGATTTTAACCATGCTTCCTGTGAATATTCTGTCAGGGTTTTTCTGACTTCAGCACATTTCTACTCTCTTTCTTTTCACTTAAATTTTAAGAAGTCCTGCTGCCAGTCATCGATTCTTCTCTGAAGATCCAAATCTCATTATTTCGATCTAATTATGTAGTAATGGTGTTGGAAGGTTTGGCTGGTGTTCAAAACCAGGAGAGCCTTTTTTCCTGATCCTCTTTTCCTAATGTTTGCTGCTTTTGGTATGACTAGTGGCCAATTGCTACCATCATCCTGATGTGAAAAGCATGACATGACTTTGCCCAAAGACACATTTATGTCTTTGTCAGTAGACTGATGTTTCTGTAATGAACTAAAGACACCTGAGGGTCAGTTGGTTGATTTTTTTCTGCTTGGGGCTTTTAGGGGAATATTTTTTTCTTGTTTCTTTTCTTTAATGCTGATTACTCATTGAAGTAATGAGAAGAATGCTGTATTTTCTTTGCTGATCACCGCACGGGCAATGAATTCTATCTTCTTGTAATCTTAATATAAGATTTGTTGTGTTGCTTCCAAAAACATACTTTGTCAGTCACACAGAGCTAGAACTAGGAAGCTGGTCTTTAAAGAACTGAGATGGATAAGAAAAAGAAACAAAATAGGCTCATATAGATGGGAGACGGCAATGTGTCAAGGTACTGTTGTTTTTCATATCTGTCTGTTTTGGACATATTAAGCACTGATTTTATTACTGCAATGTAATTATATATAACATGAGTAGGAGTTTTCTTGAAATTCAGTATATTAGCTTTTAGTTTGTAATTGTTAAAACTGGAAACATACACATACGTAAATATATCTAAAGAGCAAGAACTCACCTTGTGTATGTAGTTGTATGAGGTATGAAGCTTCCTGTAAAATTTCTTTCATTTGGCCTGTCAAATGCTTGATGAAAATTGCCTTTTTGTCAAAAATTATCTTGAAAATGCTGTAAAATAAATATTTTCTATTTATTATTTAAAAACAGAATGCCAAGACTGTTAATTTTTGCTTCCTAAGTAGAAAATAGCCATTCCTAGTAATTAATTGTTCCAGGGCTTTTCAGCATCGCGAGAGAGATGATGGGATGCTCAAATGGAGGTAGGTGTTGATGAGATTGTGGCATGTAGGTGAGATGGTGGAGGGTTGGAGGAATTTTGTTTAGAAAATGAACACCATGTTTTTGGCTTTCTACTAAAAATCCTGAGCATGGCAGGTATACATTTGTGCTGACATGTTGTAGAAGAGAATTCAATGGGAAGTGGCAAGAAATTTTGCCTCCCAAGGACATGGGGAAACACCAGCCCTTCACTGGAAGTACTCCATGTGTTTGACTCTGTAAGATGTCAGCTTCTTCCAAGAGAGAAATTCAAATATGCTTTCCTGACAGCTATAAGCGATAGGCATTGATCCATCCCAGCCATTTTATGCATCCTTCCTTTACTGTCTCTGTATAGAGCAAAGTACTGGGACTCTTGACCCCTCCTGCTCTGTGACTCGCACTGTGGCTTTTTGGAGACTCCTGCACTGCTGCGGGCCTCAGCTTGGGGCTCAGTAAGATGGAAGTATAAATGTTTTTTCTGGAGCTCTGCTGATACTTGCAGACCCAAGTGGCAGTAAACGTAGCAAATCTAGCTCTTTTTCTCTTTACACTTGCAAATAGGCTTGTTTCTAGTGGCTCCCTGGTTTGGATCTGGCCTTGCAAGAGCCCATGTCTGAGGAGTCAGTCCACCTACAACTCCTGCACTGCTGGAGCAGAGAATGACATTACATTCAGTGGTAAGTGACAAAGTTTAGTCTCTTTACTTTTAGAGGATTTGGGAGGTTTTTTCCTTCTTTTTTTCTTCTTTTTTTAAATTTTTCAGTTAAAGTCTAGGCAATCTATGTCTTAGCAAAGGTTCTGCTGATAAAATGGACTCATTTGCAGAAGCATCCTTAGGGCAGCACAGAATTTACTCCCCCCCAGAGCACTCTGCAGAGTTGCTGCCAGCACCATTCCTGCAACCAGTTACTGGTTGCGGGACCCAGCCCACAGCATCTGATCCCAACACCACTGCACATCTCCGCGGGTGCATGTGGCATTTGGGGATACATTGTGCAATGAACATGGAAATAAGTATGATGGTAACATATGAGAATCATCTAAGAAATATTATAGCAATTGTTATCTGGTCTCTAACTGGCTACACATATGTGGTGCAAATGAATTAATTTTCACATTGCCGTGTTTGCATAGGAGGATGGTACTAATTGTTTTATGCATGACTTTCCAAACAGTCTGACTAGCATAATGAGCCAAGCAAGTCTTACTTTCTTTTTGATGCAGTTTCAGTTTTTGTATTGCTGTCCTTTGAGCTTCCAGCATGGATGAGGATCATTTCAGTTTAAGTCATTCTAGACCACATAAATATTTCAGTTCATATTCATTTTATTTTTTTTTTCTACTTTCTCCACATAAACATTCAACCATATGAACATTACCAGAAAGAGCAGACTGGGCAAAATCTATATAAACAGACCCCAGTAGATATGAGCAAACAACAGTTGGTGGAAGTGCTAAAGGAAAATATGTGGAAGGCCAAATGCTCCAGCCTGTTAAAGCTGCTTTATTAGTCTCTAGATTTCCAGAGCAGTTCTTAATGCGCTTTAGTCTGACAAAGGAAAAGACTACTCCGGTGCTGAAGCATCTTTATAGAGTCCTTTGGCCCCAGCCCCAAGGCACATAACGTGACAGGTGGAAAGAGAATGGAGTTATACACCTTTATCTGCATTTCTCTTAATCTAACCTAAGAAAAGGCATAACAAAATGCAAGTCTGGGGAGACACAAGTAAGAAATCTTTAAATTAGAAATAACAAATCTGAATTGTCAAGATAATTGAGTACTACAGCAGATGGCTGGGAAATTTAAGCAAATTTTCTTTAAGTCTTCAAACCAGTGAAGAATTCATGGGGTGGAATTGTTAGCCATCTGCTATGCAGGGGGTCAGATTAAATGATCATAATATTCACAAGCTTCCAAAAAAGCCCATCTAAAATA